GGTTGCACTCCCAGCGCTTGAAGGCACCATGGGTCTCCCGGCAGCTGCGGTAGCCTTCCTGGTCCACCATGAAGAGCGTGAACGTCTCTGCCCGTCCAGTGGGGACAGCCCCCTCGTAGTGTGGGCAGTAGATGTCCAGGTAATCATTGATGGCCACCTTGATGGTGTAGTCGTCCCTCAGGAACCTGCCGGGCAGGGTGAGCTGGGGAGCAGGTGCCGGGGGTCCCACCGTCCCTCCCCCAGCAGAGCAACTGTCCAGGCTTTGACCAAAACGGCCACCGGGCACCTGGCTGTGCCACACAACCAGGCATCAGGCCGGATTAGCTGCAGGCCACTGGAGCTGAATGGGCTCAGTGGCTGCAGGCAGGGGGAACACAAAGCCCCCCGCCCCGGCACCCGCCTCACCGCCTCCAGCACTGATCAGCGCTGACACCCCGGCAGGGGTCTGCAGGGCTGGCCGGGGCAGGGGCCACCGGGGGCTCTGCTGGAGGGGGAGGGAGCCCAACCATGGCAGGAGCTGCAGGAAGCCAGGCTGGGGTAGAGCAGACACCTCGGCAGGCACACGTGTGCACATGCACACAAATGTGCACACACATGCACACATATATACACACACTTAGTCCTGCCTGTCTGGGGCAGGTGGTGCAGCCGGAGCCCCTCTGCCCCTCCTCAGCAGAGTGGTGACCTCAGCCCTGTGTCCCCTGGCCTCATCCTGCTCCAGCCCATGGCAGGGATGTCACGGTCACCCTGTTCGACTGGGAGGGGACCCCAGCCACCTCGAACCCCGGTGCAGGCTCAGGCTGTGCCCTCCCCCGGCTAGCGTGGCAGGCAATGCTGGCCAGGACGAGCCTGGGCACGGCTGAGGGCTGCGGGGGCCAGAGCTCTGCCCTGACCCTGCAAGGGCACTCACACCCCTCTGCCCAGGGCACCCCTGGGTGGTGAGTTCCCACATCTCCCACCCCACAGGTCCCCACTGCCAAGAGGAACAGCACTGGTATCCCCAGCCCTGCCTGGCATGGACCCACCTGGCTGAGCTGAGGACAGGGGACCACCATGGGGGAATACAGTCACCAGCCCAGCCCACCCAGCCACGAACTGAAAAATGCCTAAAATGGAGGAGGTTGGAGAGGGGATGGGGCTGGTCCCCAGCCCAGTGCTGGTGGCAGAGCCTGGGGGCAGCATCCCGGGCCAGGCAGGGGCTGTGCCCTACAGCCCCCACCAGCAGGGACATCACCATTGGGACTTGCAGCCCTGGTGGTACCATCCACCAGCTTGATGCCCCCCAAGGTGACCCCAGGCTTGGTGCCCACCAGCCCCATGCCCAGCAAGCATGCCAGGCCTTGGGCAGGCTGGTACCACCAGGGACTTTGCAGCACTGAGTGTCCATCGGGTTGTGACCACTGGGGACGCAGTGCCACCAGGGCTGCCCGTTGGCTTGGTGCCACCCAGACCTTTGTGTCACCTGGGTTTCTCACCTGCCCCACAGCACCCGGGCCCTGATGCCACCAGCACTGCCCAGCGTCGTGGTACCTCTGGGGATGCCTGGTGGCTCGGTGCTGCCCGGGGCTGGGTGCCACCAGGGAGTCCTCACTGACTTGGTATCACCTGGGGATACCTTCACCGGTTCGGTCCCACCAGGGGTGCTCACTGGCTTGGTACTGGTCGGGGCTCAGCACCGTCGGGGGTACTCACCGGCTCGGTGCTGCCGTGGATGCCCGATGGTGGCTCGAAACCCCTCGGGGATACCCGGTGACTCGGTACCACCTGGTGGCTCGGTACTGCCCGGGGTTCAGCACCACCGGGGGTACTCACAATCTCCGTATACCCCGGGGCTGCCCGGTGGCTC